TCTCGCCCTTTTTTGTACAAAGCCTCCTTTTTTTTTTTTTTTTTTTCCGGGAGCCCTTAGGCGCTGCGCCGCACAGCGACTCGGCACACGATACGAATACACGGCGTTGTACTTAAGCGATGCACTTAACTGCGCCGCTGCCTGCTCCGTGCCCTTGTTTTAAAGGGGATACACCATCGGCCGTATTAATAGTTAATTTAAAATCATGCAACTAGAGCCACGGCTCTTTGTGGAAAGCTTCGTACAAGCGGGGCCATGCATTATGAGGCCCGGCTGTGCTGGAGGCGATTGCCAAAATGAGGCCGGAGGAGACGGGAGCAGTGCGAGTCAGGACACGGTCAGCTCGGAGTTGCTCGGTCGACACGGATCAACTTTTGACAGTCACAGGAACGCGTACGCTACAGTGCAACAACGCGGGGTTCACGCTAAGTGGACCTGTCTCCGTTACTTCAAGGATTTCCTTTGTTTTTCATGGAAATAATTTTTTCCCAACAAAAGCTGCAGGTCTCCAAGCGCTGCTCCTGTTCTCCAACCTACTGGCTGAAAAGGTGCGGCGAGATTCCTTTTGAAGAAACACTAATGCGGCCAGTGTCCCTCCTGAAGAGCATCACTCTGAGCACAGAAATTGAGGTCTCCGGGCCGCAGCTTCTCAGGGCCCCCATGGGAAAGTCGGTGGGAAACTCCTCATACAGAGCTCATGGCAGTCCCCACCACGGCCCACCAGTGTGAAAGCTATTACACAGCTCTGAATTATTATCATCCACAGTCACCGTCTCAGCTGTAGACTGACACAGCCAAGGAAACAGAAATACTAACTTATTAGTGCAATTATTGCTAATATCTGTTAGAAGCTGACCCTGAGAGGGCTTTGCTCTGTGCAAGTCATTGATTTCCCTCGTGCTCAGCCCTCAAAAGCCAAAGTCTGTTTCATTAAACTACTTGGGAGTAGGGTCAGAAGCTGGAGGGAAGTCTCAGGGAAGTTTAGGCCATTACATATCCATTTCCCCTAACGAGCAGCATGTCTTAAGACTCTACGTTCATTTGAGGAGCTCTCCTTGCTTCAAAAGCAGACGCAGCTCCCCTTTTAGACCCTCAAATACAAGCCCCGGGGTGCAAATTCTTCACTGCCTCACACTTTTACTACTAGTGAAAAGTGAGCGCTGTTTTATCCTGACCTGATAGGATTCGATCTGGGACAAACATAGCGTAACAGTGAGCCAAGCACAGCCGGGAGCAGCACCAACAGCTCCCGCCTTGCTGGAATGAAGTCCCTTCCCCTGAACTGCCTCCGGCAAGGGCAGGCAACCGGCCTTGGCTGGACTTGGCAGCTAAACGGAAAAAATGCCAAACGGGTCTATCAGAACAAACTCGGCACGAAGAGATGCAAAATTCCTCCCATGCTAGGTTTTGTCCTTTCTGTGTTTAGAGCTTTGAGCTAAGAGGACTGAACGGTCCTTCTGTTTTACACCGTTCAGGTGCAAAACACAAGTTTCTCTTTGCAGCAGTAATGGAAACGAGGCCCGCCACATTTACTGATTTGCTCATGGCAACGAGCCAGCTCTGTAGCAGAGCCACATGAGGCTCTAATACCTTATTGCAATTAAACCTGGTGCTTAAAATGCTACAGCGAACGCGTGAGACAATGTGTATTTTCCCCATCGTTGTCTGTCGGCCCTTTTTCACCTTTGAATCTGTTGGCCAGAAGCTGAGGACTCACATAAAGACAGCAGAGCTACTTCAGGGCCAACCGCTTTTGAGCCAAACGGCATGTAAAGCGTCAAACGTCATCCTTCTCCCCTTCCTCTATTTTAAAAATAGCAAAGATTATCCGAGCGTGCTTTGGCCAGGGAAGGCAAATAAAATAAGCTGCCCAGATTTTCCGTGCGGAATAGAGGGATGGCGCTGGGAGGGGGAAGGTCGCGGGCTCGACGGATTGGCGATGATTTCCCTCCCTCGGCAGCTAAGCCCAGATCACCCACACCTCTCCTAAAGCATTGCTGCGCTTCGGGGGGCCCGTCTGTACAAAAAAGCGCAAACCCCACCCGGCAGCTTGGCCGTGGGGGGCTGCTTCGGCCTTTTTGCCGGGTTATTTGGCTGGGGGAATTGCTGCTGGAAGAAGCTGAGCGCGCAGCTCCCCCGGCCCTCACCCCGACCCACTCGGCCTCTGCTGCCTTCGCCCTGTAACTACGTGGTTCTCCCTCCCGAAATCCCTCCCAGAGGCTTGGCGGGCTCGCGTGTCGCGGATCTCGTCTCGGCGAGGTTATTTGTTACAACGTTAAGGCGAGCTGAGGGCGCAGCCGTGTGATGAGCCGCCAGGCCTCAGCCGCCCCGCGCGGGCGGAGAA